GTCTAATTAGCATATTACTTTTTTATTATTATAGATTAGATAACTTAGAAGGTACCTCAGAACCTGGCAGTATTTCAGGTTTCTTGCCCCCACATTCAATCAGTCACCATTACTCACTGCAGCTCTGAATGCACCCAGAAACCCTATATAAGCCAAATGTGCTTCAAAACTCCATGGAAAGCCCTTTAGAATTTCTACCAAACTTGTTCTGCCTTCTTTCTACCTTCTGAATCTTTGTATTTGTCTTGTGCAACCACATAGAAACTTTATTTTATACTTTCTTTCCTTTTGATTCAAACTGGCCCCATCCAGACCTGGAGAATATTATGCTGAAGAAAATAAGCCAGGCAGAGAAAGGTAAGTATCATATGATCTCACCTATATGTGAAATCTAATAAACTAATTGATGGACAAAAATAGACCCAGAGACACAGAAGCATGAACAAACTGTTGAACCTCAGAGGGAAGGCAGGGGAGGGAAGAGATCAATTAATGGACTTGTATGCTTATATGCATAACCTGTGGACACAGATGATGGGGTGGTGAGGGCCTGTGGAAGAATGGGACAGCAGAAGGCTGGAAGAGGTTAATGTGGGGAAAAGGAAGATCTATGTAATAATTTCAATAATAAATTTTTAAAAAACACACAAAAAACAAAATTAATTATTTAATTACAGTACTTACTAACAAATTTATACCAGTACTAGAGGCCCAGTGCATGAAATTTGTGCATGGGGGTGAGGGGAAGGGTTCCCTCAAGGCTGAGACAAGTTTTGCTTTAAAAAGCAGAAGTATGAGATCTCTTGTCCAGTTTTTTTGGAATTTTACTCCATCCACATTTGTGAGCCTGGTTAGAACTGCCTGACCTTTGGTGCTTTCTGTGATCGGTCCATTTTGTGAGCCCAGAAAGGTGGTACCACATGTACCCAGGCAATGTACTTGTTTCTATAAAACCTCCATTTTATTATATTTTTTGTGTGTATTCGCATTACTTCAAAAAAAAGACATGAAAAGTTAAGACTAACCTGGCTTCAGTCACAAAATAACTGAATTCACAAAATTACTGAAATAGTTCCATTCATTCTATGAACCATAACTACATAAGACAGATATAATAGCAATTGCCTTACATAGTTATTAGAGATATTATTATTGAAGGATTACAGATATAGGTAATGTACTTAACACAGTACTTGGTTACATGTTCAATAAACACTTGTTGTTGTCATTAAGTTGAACTATACTAAAATATAATCAGCAATGACAATAATCTTAATTATTTAATTACAGTACTTACTAACAAATTTATACCAGTACTAGAGGCCTGGTACATGAAACTCATGCACGGGGGTAGGAGGGAAAGGTTTCCTCAGCCCAGCCTGCACTCTCTCGCAATTCGGGACCTCTAGGGGGATGTTCAGCAGTCAGACATTCCTCTCACAATCTGGGACCACTGGCTCTTAACTGCTCACCTGCCTGCCTGCCTGATCACCCCTAACTGCCTCTGCCTCAGCCCCCGCTATCGTGGCTTCATCCAGAAGGACGTCCAGAATGACGTCCAGAAGGTCGTTAGGCTGTCCGGTCTAATTAGCATATTACTTTTTTATTATTATAGATTAGATAACTTAGAAGGTACCTTAGAACCTGGCAGTATTTCAGGTTTCTTGCCCCCATATTCAATCAGTCACCATTACTCACTGCAGGTCTGAATGCACCCAGCAACCCTATATAAGCCAAATGTGCTTCAAAACTCCATGGAAAGCCCTTTAGAATTTCTACCAAACTTGTTCTGCCTTCTTTCTACCTTCTGAATCTTTGTATTTGTCTTGTGCAACCACATAGAAACTTTATTTTATACTTTCTTTCCTTTTGATTCAAACTGGCCCCATCCAGACCTGGAGAATATTATGCTGAAGAAAATAAGCCAGGCAGAGAAAGGTAAGTATCATATGATCTCACCTATATGTGAAATCTAATAAACTAATTGATGGACAAAAATAGACCCAGAGACACAGAAGCATGAACAAACTGTTGAACCTCAGAGGGAAGGCAGGGGAGGGAAGAGATCAATTAATGGACTTGTATGCTTATATGCATAACCTGTGGACACAGATGATGGGGTGGTGAGGGCCTGTGGAAGAATGGGACAGCAGCAGGCTGGAAGAGGTTAATGTGGGGAAAAGGAAGATCTATGTAATAATTTCAATAATAAATTTTTAAAAAACACACAAAAAACAAAATTAATTATTTAATTACAGTACTTACTAACAAATTTATACCAGTACTAGAGGCCTGGTACATGAAACTCATGCACGGGGGTAGGAGGGAAAGGTTTCCTCAGCCCAGCCTGCACTCTCTCGCAATTCGGGACCTCTAGGGGGATGTTCAGCAGTCAGACATTCCTCTCACAATCTGGGACCACTGGTAATAGAATCAGGGACATAGAAAGGGAATGGACTGACTATTCTTGCGGGGGAAAGGGGTGTGGGAGATTCGGGAAGAGACTGGACAAAAATCGTGCACCTATGGATGAGGACAGTGGGTGGGGAGTGAGGACGGAGTGTGGGGTGGGAACTGGGAGGAGGGGAGTTATGGGGGGAAAAAGAGGAACAAATGTAATAATCTGAACAATAAAGATTTAATTTAAAAAAAATAAAAAATAAAAAAATAATTTTTAAAAAAAGGACCAGATGCACTGATCAACTACCCCCCTAGCGCCAACCAATCAGTAGGGACCATGACCCTGACCACAACCCTAATTCCCTTAGTCAACATGATTAATAATTTTTCCCCAACACAACCCATCCCCTGGAAGCCATCTGGGAGCCAGGTCTTTGAGCATGAGCTCACCTGTGTCTCTGGGTGTGGGGCACTTCCTGAAAATAAACCCTTACTTTCTTTGCTGCTAAATGCTGTTGATGTCTTAATGGATTCTGATGCATGCAGGCAGATGGATCCCTTTAGTCCGGTAACAGTTGCATGATTCCATACCTCCTCCCACCCCTATAGATTAGTTACACCGATTTTGGTCATTTGCCCTAGCTCTAATGTTGCATTCCTTCTGAACACAAATACTGGAATCTCAGCAAAGATAAGAAGTACACAGCCTGCCACCTCTACCCTTGATGGTGGAGACTCTACTAAATCTGATGCAGTTAACAGACACATTTCACATTGGCTTCAGCAAAACGGAATTTATTGGTAATGATTCTGACTTCAATTCCACTGTGTGTGTGGGGGGGGGCTGGGGGGTTTCCCCACACCATCAAGCAATTCTCCACCTTCTAGGTTTCCTACAATTCAACTCAATTCTGACACTATGTACCTGGAAATCCCACAAGTTAAAAGCTCAGTCATAGAGGACTGCCATTGCTCCCTCCCAACACACACACACACACACACACACACACACACACACACACATACACACGTCAGACAATTGCAAGCCCAAGTTATCACCTGTGGTTCTGACCCACTGGGTAGAGACTGGAGAATCCCACAGCCCTCTCCTTGGGCTCAATTAATTTGCTAGTGTGGCTCACAGAACTCGGAGAAATATTTTTTATTAGGTTAATGTTTTATTATCAAAGGGTATAACTCAGGAACAGTCAGATGGAAGAGATGCATAGAGCAAGGAGTGAGGGAAGGGTGTGAAGCTTCCATGACTTCTCAAAGTGAGTGTCCACTCTCCCAAAATCTCCACATGTTCACCAACCAAGAAGTTCATCAAAACCCCTCCTTTTTGGTTTTTATGAGGTTGCATTATATAGACATGATTAATTAAATCACTGGTGACAGCCCCTCTTCCCTTCTTGGATGGTGGAATGGGACTGAAAGTTCCAAGCCTCCAATCAGACAATTAGTTCTCCTGGCTACCAGCCCTCATCCTTAATATGGTCCAAAAGTCACACATTAACATAACAAAAGACACCTTTATGGTTCTCATCACTTAGGAAATACCAAGTGTTTTAGGAGCTCTGGGCCAGAAATGAGAAGGAAGACCAAATATATATTTCTTTTTTTTTTTTAACAGGACAATGGCATATTTATTTACAATTGGACCAAAAAAAAAGGCATACAGGCATTTTTAATTAAAAATAATGATGATGATGATTTAAAAAGTCAGAAAAATTGATGATGTTTAAATCCTTTATGAGGAGTACATTTCCCTACTCCCCCCCAAAAGAGAATCTCTTAGGGGAAAAAAAATCCAAGATTTGAATAAACAAGACTCCATTATCATTCTCTACTGCTTGAGTTCCCTTTTCTTCAACCTGATTCTTGGTGGCTGCCACTTGGCACTATGGAGTCACTGTGAGGCAAGGTTGAGAAGTTCACTGGTTTGATTGGTGGAGCTGGTAGGGGCCGTTCTGAGAATAACCTGGGAGGGGGAAGTGGGTAGTGTGTTCCTAGCTTAACCAGCATCCTGAGCTTTGTCTTGTGGTGGGAGTCCCAAAGGGGCTGGAGCAAGGGTGAGTGGCTGTTACTTAAGCCCTAATCCCAGGGTGGGTTTGGTCTCTTGCAATTTAAGAGAAAGTGACATGCAGAGAGTGGGTGGGCAGTGAGGGTGGAGGGAAGACTTGGCCCCAAGAGTGGGTGTTGATAAAAGAGCCAGACCTGCCATGTTAGTTACCTCTAACTTGGGGTAACTGGCTCCTTGCCTATCCCTGGGAATTGGGGAAGAAATGACAGAACTTACCTTCCATTTCCTTTTCACCAGCAGTTTTCTGGGTGTCCCTCAAAGGAGGCAAGAACTCAAATGGGAGGGGGAGGGGAATGGGTTTGGCTAAAAGAGCTGTGCATGGGCGCTAAGGCTGGGGGATGTCAGGGAGGGAATGCCTCTCCCCAGCCATCTAAAGGAAGAGAACTGAAGTCTCCAGGCCTTGTTCTGCTCGAAGTGGGGGAAGAGAGACCCCACCAGCAGCACAGTTTGCAAAGAACAGCAACCCCCTGAGGAAGGGACTGGGGAGAAATCCTAAAGGGTGAAGACCCTCAGCCCAGGCACAGACATGTGGATATACTTGGATTGGCTTTGGAAATACCTGGCCCTGGATCCAGGATTTTGTGGCACAGAAATAGTTCGCTGCAAGTCTCTTCTCTGCTCCAGCAAATTTCCACTGCTCCCTAGTACTTCTGGGGATTTCCTTATAGCAACCAAGACGGGACTTGCTCCTGGTGACAAGACGACCCCGAGGCCTGGCTAGAAGCCCTGCCTTGGGCAGCCCTGGGAGAATGCTGGAGAGGTGAGAAGAGGGAGGGAAAGTGGCTGGTAGAGGCAGGTTGGCACTGAGGATGCATGTCTGGGCTAGAGCTGTGCTTGTCACGGCATCAATGGCGAGGATGGATGGTGAGAGGCTTGGAAACCTCACTGAAGTCCCAGAAGGTCTGGTGTTTCCTTTTCCAGTTAGTCGTGGGGTGGCCAACAGCCCTGAGGAACTGAGGTGGAGACAGTGACCAAAACCCAGTGTCTCGGTGGATTTATCCATGCTGGATCCATTGTTAAAAAAACAAAAAACAAGGAAAAAACCCCTAACCAAAAATAAACTTGAACAGGTCCCAGAGTTCCTGCTGAAGGGAACTTTCTTAGTACTGAAGAAAAAAACGACCCACAAAAACGTCATCCCCCACAGAATTGGAAGAAGATGATGGAGAAAAATGCAAGATTTATCTACAGGTCCTCCCGCCCCCCACGCAGCCCTGGGATCCAGGAACACTGTGCCAGGAGTTACATTCCAAACAAGCAGGAGTTACTTTATTTTGCGTGCCTGCAGTTCCCCACGCAGGGTGGCTTCCTGTCCATGGACAGAGTGGGCATGGCTATGGTCCACCCCATCAGTCTATCTTCACAGCAGCGTAGATCTTGTGGACAACCATGTAGGCTGCATAGAAGCTGATGGTGCCCGTGAGGAGCCAGAAGGACAGGACCATGAGGGCCGTGTAGCCAAAGTAGAGGAGAGAGGGGATGAACTCGACGATGTCCAGCTTGTTAACAAAATAAAAGATGGCATAGACCAGGACGTAGAATGCAGATCCCCCGGAGACTAGGAAATTCCTCCACCACCAGCGGTAATCCTCTGCACACAGCTGAAAGTACACCATGACAATGCTGATTTGTGAGCAGGATACCACCAGGATGATGAAGACGAGGAATAGGAAGCCAAAGAGGTAATAGAACTGATTCTCCCAGATTGCACTGAAGATGAAGAAAAGCTTGATGACCATGGCACCAAAGGGCAGGATCCCAGCCATGAGAATGCCCACAAATTGGTTCATGTACCACCGCTGTTCAGGGATCTGCCAGGGAATCTGGTTGGTGCGCACAGGGTTGTCATATGGCTGCTTTCTGAAGCCGAAGTAGTAGCCCAGGTAGACGAGGGGCAGGGAGATCCCGAACCACATGCACAGCAGGGCCACCATAGTGGGGAAGGGCACCGCTCCTGATGAGTGCTTTCCCCAGATGAAGCAATTCAATACGAAACAAATGCCCAAAACCACGCCAGGGTACAGTGTCGCTGTACAGAAGGCTCCTTTCTTCCACCGATGGCCTTTTAGAGTGCGGTACAGACGGCCGGCGGAAAATCCACCGAAAACTCCCATGAACATGAAGAGGAAGCAGGCAGTGGTCATGAGAGCTCCCGGTGGGCTATCAACAGTGCTGCAAAGCTCTGATGAGGATCAAATTACCAGGGCCTGGGGTTGAGAGGACCTAGCCTTTCTGCTGGGATGGACAGCTCCATCTGGCCCAGAGATGCTGACACACCTTTTTCTCCAGGGAGAAAAGCCTACCCTTCTCTCAGACTCAGCCCATGCTGCTCTGGTGACAGCCTCCCACACCAGGCCCACTCACAGATGACGATGAGGATCATACAGAAGAGCTGAATGCCTGAGCCCAACAGGGAGCTGAGGATCATGGGGTACTGGGGTGGCCTGAAGACGTCACCGTGCGCCAACTTCCACCCAGACTCTTCCATGGTGTCTTCAATGTCATCCTCTTTGTTATAGTTGGCAATGTCCTTCCGGAGGGTCCGAATGATAATCATGCTCAGGATGCCTGATAGGAAGAAGACCACAACAACGGAGTTAATGATAGAAAACCAGTGGATCTGCACATCACTCATGGTCAGATAAGTATCCCAGCGAGAGGCCCATTTGATGTCACTTTCCTCCCAGTGTACCGAGTAGGTGAAGAACAGCTGATTTTCCTTGGTGGGATCAATTTCTTGGGGCGAGGATTTGGTACCCTCAGGCAGAGTGCATGAACTCTTCTCATCTGTTTTGAGGTCCTCCAGCCTGATGCTCTGGGGAATCACCTCGAAGCGGACGACACGGTATGTGTGCTCCTGGTCCTCTTCCAAGTCCTCTCGGTGGTAGTAAAGGATGAAGGAGAGGTGATTGTGCAGGTAGATCTTGTTCACTTCCATGAAGCCAAGCCAGTAGCCGTGTTCAAACTGCACATCTTTTTCCTCCTTCTTGTCATCACCGTCGCAGTTGGAGTAGAGCTCCAGCTGGTGGCCACAGGCAGGTTGTCCGCAATGAGGTGGACATAGTAGTCCTCCGTGATCAGCTCCGCCATGAGCCGGCTCTCTTTCACAGACAGGGTCACTGGTTTGTTGGACTCACTGCACAGAACCTCACACTTCTTTTCGCTATTCATGAGAACCTGGAAAGGGGTGTTGACAATCCGGTCCCCTCTCAGCACCTCTCCCCGATTCTCTGCCTTGTAGGTTATTTTTAAGGGCTGGCAGAGGGGCAGTGAGTAGTACTCATAAGGTAACTGGGTTCGAGAGCTGGTGAGCTTCACAGCCTTGATTTCTACAGGGTCGTTCTGGTGGAAGTTGATTGGCGCGACCCCAGGGACATAGAAGGCTCTTGTTCCACACATGAAGGAGAGAAGCAGCAGGGACCACGGCAACCAAACCATCACTGCCGCCATCTTGGATCCACGTGTCCCAAATATATATTTCTTATTACAAGTCACAATCTTGCAATTGGACATTGTGATTGTTTTATAGACTCAAAAGGCAAGAACTGGAAAAGGGTTTCAAGGGAGAATTGGGACCAAGGACCAGAAAGTCATCAAGAAATTAAGCATCATCCCTGTTGACCTCTATATTTGTCCCAAAGCTGCCCTATGGTTTTTATTTTTACGTGGCCAACATATCTTCTAAATTAACACCATTTTCGTTCATGGGAAGATTTCAAACTTAATAGACATCTCAAATTCCAAATTCTCAGGAGAGGATGATTTGCCCAGTTTTGGTCAGGTTTTCATCAGCTATGAACAAGGGACAGACTTGTATAATACAAATATGTCAGTCCAGGGTCCACTCTTGTTCTCAGAATAGAGAGGTGGCACTAGACACTCTGAATGATGTCTCCTACATGGTATCCCTCCCATCTTCCCCATCTTTTTTGTTCCCATTGCCACAATTCCTGGCTCTTCAAGCCAAGTAGACCTACCCATTTGCTTGCTTCTTCTCATACTTCTTCCTCCTTTCTCTTCTGCCTCTGACTTCTTTCATTTACTTTCATCTCCCTGGTTTTAAATTCTTGGTCCATACCCCAGCTTCTATTTCTGCTCCTGCTCTCTTCCTAATTATGTACCCCTTGCACATTGAACTTCAGCTTTTCTCTATGACTCATGACTCACATTACTTCTTTCGGCCCAGCAAATCCACTGACCATCTCAGATGAAGGGTCCTGTTATAGTCATTAACCTCTCAGAATCCCCTTCCTTGCTCCTTTGCCCATTTCAGCAATGGTCCCATGAAGGGGAACAGGGAGAACCCAAGCCTGCAAACTGCTTCCAAATGAGTACAATATTCCTAAAACACTCCTTTGATTATAAAATTTCTTGCCTCGAAAATTCTTGCATGATTCTTTAGCCTGACATTTAAAGGTCTTTCAGAGTCAGGCTCCAAACTACTTTCCCAACCTTTTCCTCTCACTACTTCCTTTCACAACGGTTCTAATCCATGCACATTCCCTGAATGCTTTGCATAAAATTGTACTGGGGCCTCTTGCATACCTAGCACATGGAAATCAATACATACTTGTTGCCTGTGTGAATAAATGCACAGTAAAAGTTGGTCTGGTGTGACTTGATTTATTTGACTCTGAACAGCTTTTACTGTATAGCTATGTGGAAGATGTGGGAAATTACACTGAACCTGTACTGACCCTGTGCCATACACAGGTTTTGGTTTTTAAACCAAAATTCTGGGAACAGCATATTTCCTATTTGTATTTTTCATAAAAATAGAGTGCACAATAGGAGGGGAAAGCATCATAACTATTTGCATATGCTAGTTGTTTGAATTCCAAGATAAACAAAAGTTTACTGTATTTCTAAATTCACCCTTTTCTAGATTCCAGTAACTTGGACTGTATTGTGAAGGCATCTGTAATTTTTGACTCTAGGGTCTTTTGGCCTTTGGACAATACTGTTGCTTATCCACATTGTCACCCTGAGCCAAGTAGAATGAGACAAAGCCTGTTTTGTATGCTATAAGAGCAACCACTTCAAGTTAAATTCTTTAGAGTCTGTTCTCACATTATTTTGTGTCACAGATACAAAATACCTTGACCTTCATTCTCTTACATTTGCCTTTTGGAAGGCCATAATGAATCACAAAAAAATAAAAAAAGATTTAAGCATAAACATTTTTTGCCAATTTATGAAGTACTCTATTGTCAAAGAGATGTTTTGCTATTAAACAGACTGTATCTGTTTTAGCTCACCACATAAACCAAACTTTACTGTGGTTATCAATATATATTTGTTAAATAAGTGAATGAGTAAATGAACGAAAATGAAACATAAAGGAATAGTGCATTTCTAGTCAATGACAGCTACAATAAATGTAGTTTTATATGGCTCAATTAATTTTAAAAGTAATTAAAGAAAAATAAAATATCTAGTAGAGTTAACTAAATTTATTCTATTTTATTTATTCTATAACAATCTTCCTACCCTTTTCTCTGATGATAAAAATTATTTTTTTTTAATTTGGGTCTTAAAAATGTTCAACATTTACATGACCATATAAATTTATAATTCTTATTTACTGTTCCTGTACTATATTTTAAAATTTCTTTTATCATGGCATATTGATCTTTATATTATCTTACTGAATTTTATAACCATCATGCATGCAAAGTGGAGTTGGGCATGGGAGGTGGGAGGTCTCAATCTGAATTTCTAAAAGTGATGCTGTGGCAATTTTTGGATGAAGCTTCCTCAGACTAGTTTTGTACTGGTAAAGGGCTACCTGTTAAAAAGCCCCTCAATCCTTGCCTTCTAAAACATCATAAAGTCTCCATAATGACCCTTTACATTTTAGAAGATTTTTATTATATCTGAGACTCATTCATGAAAGTTATGATTCCAGTAACTTTTCACTTATAATATTGGAAATCATATTGTCAATTGTGTTAAATTTGACATAATATTTTTTTCTCTTTTCATATATCTAATAAGACAAATAGAAAACATTTATGCAGGTTTCTTACTCTATGTCAGACTTTTACATCAATTATCTCACCTAATCCTCACAATAACTCTATTTGTGCCCATTACTCAGATGAGAAAACATGAATTGAGAAGCAAAACAACATTGCTCCAGATCACACAGCTGGCGAATGGCAGGACTAGGATTTGAAACCAGATGTCACCAAAGCCTCTGGTCTTCAAAAATTTGCAACATTATGCTGAGGTCCCATGGTCCCTTGAAACAGCAAGGATGGACCGGCTCCCGGAAAGGTCCCACTAGTAACACAGTCCCATTGGGGGCATTTCAGAAAGGCAAAGCATTGAGGACAATTGATTCCTTTAGTCTACCTCCCAGATCTTCAGTACAAATTAGTATCTGCCTGCTTGCCAAGGCAAATGGAAATTGCACAAAAGGAAAATGAGTTAGTAGTTTTGCATTTCCAGGGGTAGTGTACTGAAGTAGTTACTACATCTTGGTACTGGACCCTTGTCCTTTGAAAAGTGGGTAATAAACAGCTGTGCTTACGTATCAGGTTTAGATTTTTAAAATAATGTGAAGTCTAGAGAGCTTTTTTAAATTTTGGTGATGACTGTTTAAGGAGACCCCTCTTACTTCCCCAGCCCTCTCTACCCCAAAAGAAGAAAATATCAACTACCCTACTACTCATAGAAGCATCTGGATTTTCTTCCTTACCTGGTCCTGCACAAATCAGACATCTCTGGGAATTTTTCAAAGTTAATTTGTTCCCAAAGGGAGAGCAAAGGAATGACATGCTTTTATGTCCATTTGCTGATTTAAACCAAGAATGATGTTTCTAGATAGCAGTAGGAGTTGAGTATGTGGCTGGCTGCAGCATGCAGTCCCTTCATTTTATTAGAACATCATCCTGCAGACTGTGGTTGTCAGATGTCATCCTAAGTATGTGTTTAGTATATCTCAGTTTTGAACTTTGACCTTAATTTAATCTAGACAGGCCATATGCAGCTACTTGCTTTTAAACAGTGACACCAGCATTCCTCTTGTGTCAGTGTTTCAAGTCAAACTCCTTGGGCATCAAATATTCCCAGAAACAGTCTAGTAAGTCTAGTATTTCCAGACTTAATTTTTTTAAGTCATCACTGATGGTTCTTGGAAAGAATGATTAAACTAGAATACTAAAGTGAAATGTCTAAGGCTGATTATGACTTTTAAATGACTTTAAAAAGGGTATTTTGCAATACTCTGATCCAGTTCTTCCTCTCATGTTAAGTAATATATATTGCTTCTCTCTCTCTCTCTCTCTCTCTCTTTCTCTCTCTCTCTCTCTCTCTCTCTCCTAGGAACAAGCCTTTGATTCCTTAGCCCTCTCTTGTTATTCCATCTCCAGCACTATGCTAAAACTGCTTTGTTAAAGTCACCAGAAGATTCATATTGCTAAAAACCAAGACTTTTTTTTTTTCAGATACTTGTTGTTATGGTTGTGAATTCAATTAAGTTTCTCATCCCCTTATGTATAAGGCAAAACATACAGAAATTTCAGCCAAATGAGGTGCTCCCCACCATGGCAGGACAGATGCAGCACAAGGCGGAGGATTTTTCCGAGTCCTCAAAGTCCCTAACAGGCGTATTGATGCCAGCGAGTGTCTCTGCACCAGTGAAATCTTGCTAAATTTGAGACGCTTAACTCTGTGCAGTGTCAAGTCATTTTATATTTAGAACTTACATCACCATTTAGCAAGCACCTATACACCTTTCTTTAAACTGTTTCTGGCTTTTGTTTCTATGTCAGAACACTCCTGATATTCTTTCAACTTTTTTTGGCTGTTCTTTGTTGGTCTCTTATGTCAGCTTCTCTTAGTCTACCCAACAATTAAATGTTGGTCTTTCTCAGAATTCTGCCGTGGGCCTGCACTCTTTGCTCTCTACACTTTCCCCTGAGAAAATATCACTGAATTATCTATACACTGAAAAATCCCAAATTTGTATTTCTGGTGAAGATCATGTTTTTGAGTAATAGGTCAGATCTGAATATGGAACTGTCTATAGGACATTTCACTTGGATGTCTCAAAGGCATTTCCAAATCATTCAGATGTCTGAGACTGATCTCATGATCTGGTTCCTTATGACAGTATATGGCTCTATTATTTATCAAATTACTCAAGTCATAAACCTGGGAGTCATCCTTGACTCTTACTTCTCCCTCATCTCTCACATCCAATCAAAAACTCAATCAACTTCCCAGTAGAGAAAGTGGCCTTGCCCACAGATGTAAACATCTTAGTCCCTGGGACAAGAATACCTCTCTTATGGGTTATCTATTACCAAACACTGAACTGAAGAAAGATCATCACAGCTGTGACAAACACCCACCTAGTGATGATAGTTAACCAGCTGCTGACCCACCAATAATAATATGAGTTGCAGGTTCTGTGCAGTTCCTGGCACTAACACCAACTCCATGTTTT